AGTGTAAGGAGTGTACAGTTATGCATGACATTTAAAGGAATACTTTACCCACAAAATTGCTTTTTAAAATTAAATTCTCCTCTTAAATTATAACCCCCTCCCTGTCACAAAACGTTTTTTGAATGTTGCCCAGAAGTAGAGTACAAGTCGTGCAGTATGATCCAAGTCTCATTTATTCAGTAGTGTGCGCAGCTATACCCATACACATGCATTTTCACTAAAACCATGCTATTTAAAACACTTACACATACAAGTAGCGCAAATGGGCAAGTGCATGCTTTTGAACTCTACTCGTGCATTTCACTGGGCAGAGTTCAAACGCAAACACGTGCCCAGGTTAGCTACTCATCCATTTGTGACCCTGTTTATGCAGGAGTGGTTAAATAGAGATGTTTTAGTGAAATTGCATGTATTTGGGAAGTACTGAGCATACAACTGTATAAATGAGACTTGGATTATACTGCATGAGTTGTGTAAGAGTTTATAAACAAATGTTTTCATATAGTTTTTCAGTTGTTGAACGCAGCCCCCTTTTGCTTCAATTTATCAGTTTGTGTCCATTACTTCAGTTTATAACCAAATACCTGGAAAACAAATGATGTCCCCATCAGCCTCAGTTAGCGCTGATTAGCAAACTTTAGCATGCTAACACCCTAAAGTAAGGGTGTTTTCACACTTGGTCCTTTTCAGCCCTCTAAACGGACTCAGAGTGGTGACTCAGCATTTTTGTGCATATGTGAACGCTCCAAGAGAACTCACACCCCTCTAAAGCTACTACTGAACTAAGACCACTTCGGGACAGGCTTTGAGTTGGGTTCGTTTCAAATCCATGGTTCAGTTCACTTAACCTGTGCCTTGTGAACACAAAGCACTCCAGGTTTGCTTTGCAAACATCACACCTGCTAAACATCAGCATGTTAGCATGTAGCCATTAGCATTAAGCTCATTTTAGATCATTAACCCACCTTTTAGGACAATGATACATAATCTGTACTTGAGTAGGAAGTCTGTATTCACATACTCATGTGTACAGATCTCTTCACGCCTCACTTCTCATTTCTTTGGACTCACATGCTGCAATTTTCCTCACCTGTCTACAACAGCAACTTGGTCACACCTCTCTCCCTAGATCCACCACCACTTAGCATGCAGCTCTACCTCTACACAAAGTTCTCTCTCTCAGTCTTGGCTCTTGCCTTATTGACCTGCTGCCTCCGAGAAGAGTGTTACAGACCTTTGTCTCACGGTCAAGAGCAGTTTGCGGCAGTTTGACTTCAGAATGAGGGTGTTACCTTTTATTGTGATGGCCTGAGACAATTTATCTGTCTCTCCCTGTACACATGCATGTTGGTTTTGCCTTAGAGGTGTACTGTGTGTGTGTGTATGTGTGTGTAAAACAGAGGAAATGTAGAGGGAATGGTTTATTATTCAGACTATTATTCACAGCACACCGCCTTTTGCTGTTAGACAATCAATTTGATGCATGCTTGTGTTTGTGTACCTGTTTACTCTAATTATGCCACTGCAGTCAAATTATTAATATTCCAACAGTGCCTGGAAAAGTTATTATCCTGCACAAGTCAATATCACATCCAAATGGAGGACAAGCACATGCTGAGAGCCAGAGAAAAAACTTATAAGCCTAATTAATTTAGCACATTTAGCTACTTTACCCAGTTTGATATGAATAAATGAGATGGCTTGTGGTTTCCACTCTGCACGCTGGCCCCAATTTAGTGTGATTTTTGCTGATATAACTCCCCCATCGCATCACTGTTTGGCCAACCTTGGTCAAGTTCAAATTATGTGACTGCACTTGATTGAGCTTGCCTGGTGCGGCAGAGATATGGGAATAAGTGGTGCTTGAGCCACTGATGAATGTACATTTTGTGCCACAGAGAACGGAATAATGTTCACCATATTAACAAAGCCCCGGCTGTTCACATAATACTGGTCACATCGGCCCCTGAAGAGCAAGATTCATCTAGTTCCATTATGTCTCCAACACTCTGCAACTTACACCTAAACAATCTAGATTGATAAGTAGCACTACAGGTAAAAGGGAAAATGTGTATTTTCTGATTTTGGGGTGAACTGTCTCTTTAAGCTTGAATCTGTGTTTACAGGTCAGTGCTGTGACTGTCTCTTCAGTGTTTCCAGCCTATTTTAACATGACAGAGCATTTCTGCCCTCTCACTGTGCTGCTTTTTTAGCCCCTGCTGCATCACATACAAGCATATGGCCCGCAGTGACACTTTCAGCCAAAGCACGTCACCATGAGTGCACTTATTTTTAGCACGTGTTGTCCAAGTGGGAATCAAACTCCAGGACCACCCAGATGCCCCAGATAACCTTAATCACAGCCAGAGTAGCTGGGGTGCTTCATTAAAGAGGCCAGTTGGACCTCAACAGGGAAATGCCCTCTGCACTGTTTTTAATATTTATTGAAAACCCCTTTGTCCAAGAGGCACTTGAACTTAGTGCTCCTATTACAGAATCATGGCTTCATCACAGGCAGTAGGTCAGAGGTCACTGTCTTGGCGATGAGATGCCTCAGAAGAATGCAACAAGAAAGCATTTAACTCCAGGCATTCAATCTCCCTGCTTTTCATTTCCTTTCTTTTGACAAGTGCCTCTCGTTCATCCTCATCGTTATCAGATAGGGCTGTGGGATCAGGGGTTCACATGTCATGTAGACGGTTGTCAGGGTAACTAGCTAGGGCAGTGATGTCACCAAGAGGCCAGGATTAGTTGCTCCTGTGCAATGAGAGGCGTAAACATCACCATCAGAAATAACTGTAATTTGTTTCCTTGTGTCGCAAATAATGGCTTCCAGTGGCCAGGGCAGACATAGCGCTAATTTTAGACAAAGTAAACAAAGTCATAAACGCACCCAAAGCTAACCTGGAACAACAAAAGCATTAAAAGCAGAAAATTGTGATGTGTACACCATACTGTTTTTCAAGAGGCTGTACACTTTCTGCATCTTTAACTGTCTGGAAAACATGAGGTCAGGCACGGGGTGCTACTCTCGTGCCCTTTCTGTGCCAGAGTATGGCGGCGAATTGCATCTGAGGCTGCTAAACAACAGTATCATAACATAGCCTATTTACCTGACACCCTGAGTGCAGAGCTGATCTTCTTTCAGGCACTCTTTGTATGGAGGCCTATTGTTCGTGGGCCAGATGTAAACTCTGGCAGCCCTTCACTTAAATGATCATCATCTCCTCCATATTTACCAGAGACTGATATTTACGGAAGAAGGGAAAGATATCTGTTGGCTGTGATTGGTTGGTCCTCATCACATGACATGTGGTGCACACTGCTGCGTTACGAAAGCTGAACCTTTTTTAATCTCAAAGCATCTACATTAAAAACACGGCATGTGTACGGCCCTAAGTCCCTTCCCTGAAGAGTGATCATCCAATCATATCAGTAACCGTAACTAGGCACTATATAGAGTGGTGCAGGGGTGACGTTCTTTTAAGGCCAACATACAAGTTAGCGTCAGCCTGGTTCCCTTGTCAAAAAAACTGTTGTTTTGTTTTCATTGGATTATTTATTATTGCAGAAAACAAGCTCTGTGGCAAACAAACGTTTATGATACTTACTTATACATTTTGTTCAGCAAGATAATCTTCACAAATTAATTCCACTTTGATTGCTAAAGCATAAATGCAGTTGCCAGAAGTAAAAAGCTAAACAAACTACAACATGGGTGCATGGCTTCAACATTGCCACCTCAACAAGGCTGCAAAGCCAGGTTTGGCAGGGTTTGGTGTAGCCACTCAGCCGCCTTTTTTAAGACACTGAAAAGCAATAAAATTCACAAATTGGGTATTTTCTGATGTATTTAATGTCATAGAACAAAACATGAAAGTCTTTTAAGTATGTAGTAACCACAGACATCATTTCAGTCATCTAACCAAAAACCCACTCAACAAACCCATTGATTTCAAGACGAGGAAACAGGAAGTGCTAAAATGCTAACTCATTTTTGGGTTTTAGGACTCAATCCTGCAGCACTCTATGGGCCCTTCTCCTCATACTAAATCAAATTTTTTGGAGCTGAAGTAACAACAGTTTACATCATTCAAAGAGTTTGAACAATGGTGTCTTGTTTAAGTCTTTCCATAACAAAACATAACAGAAAAAGTTAACAAACAAATCAGTTTGTATAGCTGTTCTAACAGAAGCTACAATCATTAGCATGTCCTGCTAACTAGCTTACTGCCTACATTAATCTAGCATTATGTCCAAAACCAACTACTAACCTTTGTGGAGTTACAGGATAAAAGAAGCACCTTTCACAAGTAGCACCTTCACTGTGTAGTATTTCCCCTCTGTGTTGAAGCCAGTCCTGGTATGGTCCATGTTAGCAGCTCTGTAGCCTACTGTTCTATGTTGGAAATATGGAAGTTAACATTCCAGCAACACCAGTGTTCAATAAGTCCTCATCCTAGGGTTTTCTGTAATGTTAAAAGTGAAAAATGTCAGCTAAGCAGCCAAACATTGTTATGCTAGTTCACCAAAGATGGCATTCTCAATTAATTCATAGAGCTAACATTAGCTTGATGAGCCAGCTAACTACAACTAATAAAATCAGAATTTTGAGTGGTAAATCTGCCTCCATTATCTGTGTAAACTGCACATGCTTTTAGAGAAAAAAAAAAAAACTTGGCATGCATAGTAATAGAAATAAAGGGAGGTTAACGGTTAATTGGATACATTTTCATTTTACCACTCTGTTTGCAAATTGATGGTGAATAATTGAGACTCAGCTCATTTCATGAGAGCTTCTTTGTTTGCTGTTTTGACTAATGTTGGGTTTTCTAAGAAAAAGTGCTCTGGCAGAAGGAAAATGGTGCATTTAACTGTCCAGATGCAGCATCAGTGGTTTGTTTGAATAATAAAATTGGTAATAAACTTCGCCAGATGTTCACTGAAAGTCCATGGCTCTTCTCTTCTCTCTCTCTTTCCTGCTGTCTCCCCACATCCAGAGACACTCCCCAGGCCAATGACAGCGGAGCAAAGACGCCCCGGTCCAAAACTTCATCCCGCTTCCCCAGACTGGGCCGCAGCCGCAACCAGGAAGCCAGACCTGAACCCCAGAGCGGCGACCTTTAACCCCCCAGAGCCTATAAACTAATACTCTCGCTGTATAGGCTGAAGACAACCATGTTCCCATGTCCACCCTGGACTGTGACACACGGGCTCACACTGTGTGAGGACATAAAGGGCGTCAAACGGACCTTCAAAGCCTTACAGATAAAAGGCCTCAGTCGAGGAGGGGAGATGGATGCATTCACATAGCAGGCCTCTCTAGGAGATATGTAAATGTTGCTGTGCATCACCTGGCTGAGAGAAGGATAAATGACTCCCCCGAGGCTGCCTATCGATGGACCCAATCATACAGCACCTCTTACCTCACTGAGAGACAAAAAGACTCTCTGTTAACTGCACATGAACTCGCCAGGACTGCTCTCTCTAATCTCAAACACAGTGAGATGATGGAGATTTTTTTTTTTTTTTACTCTGCTCAGTTTTGTAGTGAAAGTGTATCATGGTCACAGTGCCTACAGTGTTTTGTAGCTGCTTTCCTGCTCTGGGTGAAGAGGGGTATATTAAAGTAATATCTTGGGGAATGAAGGTTGTTTTTCAGCTAATGTGTCAGCATTATGGTGCCATTACATTTAAGACGACGATGATTCACTATCTCTGGCAACGGGCATTCCTTTTTCCTACTTCTGTTATTTTATTATGGCTATTACAGATAATCTGCAGAAAGTGTTACATATCTCAGTGTCACCAGGGATGCAGTAATTTTCAAAGACATCTTCGGGTTCCACATAATGATCATATTAAAGGATTAGAGTTAAGCACCACTGATGAACCAAAATCTCTTTGGGACTGCACAAAAATCATTGGAGTGGGGAAGGAGGTTTGAATCTTATATTTTACTTTTTGAAAAAGCAAGACACCCCCCCCCTTAGCATTTTTAGTACTTTCTTTGTACCCCTGCTATTGGCTTGGAGAAAAAACTAATTGCATCAACCTTACTAACTAAAAGAGGCAAAGTATAGAGATGCTAACTTGGAATTGTTTTTGTTACTGATAGCCGACCCTCTTTAACTGATCATTAACCGTTTTCAACTTATCATGACACTACTGCAGGAGTGCGAGCTCCACATAGGGGATACTGAAAGTCCACCGGCCCCGCACACATAGTGACAGAGCTAACTGTTAGCATCACATGGCTAACATTACCTGATGGATTTAACGACAGAGTCAAGGCCGTTTTGGTGTCAGTGTGAGTTTGTTGGGACTGTTTAACAGCTTGGTTTCAGATGTTAGCTGTGTTAGATAATGCTAACCTGGCAGACGTTGAACTGACCGTTCTGTGTAACAGAAAGTTTGCTGAAAGTGTGCGGACTTTCTTCTTCTTTTCTACCACAGAAAAGATTAGTACCCAACAAAGGTCTCTTATACTGTATAGGTGTCCATGTCTGCCACTTGGTTATTGGCTTATTAAAGGGTGCTGTGGTCGTCATTGAACTACTCTGGCCTGGGCAGCGGCAGACTTTGATGTCTTGTTATCATCCCCGGTAGCACTAGTCTTATATTTTTAACTGTTTAACCTAAAGTATTAAGGGGTCGAAATTCATTTTTCGGTAAAGGGTTAAACAGTTAATTATTAACATCTCTAACTTAAACCTTGAAAGGGTTGAAAAAAATAGGTATATATTAATAGAATAATAATAGTCACAATAGCCACTAATGCATACAAGTCCCAGCCACAGCCTAAGAGATGCTAAATAAAAGGCTAAACTTGAATTATATTGTAGGCCAACATAATTTGACACTGCAGATTAAATCAATGGCGGACAATAGCAGTTGGTAGAGATAACATTTAATCACCAATATCAATAAAAATCCACAAGTATTTGTGTTTTTATTCATTCATTCATTATCTGTAACCCCTCACCTGTTTTAAGTCGCGAGGGGACTGGAGTCCTAAATCTTAAAAATAAGTGACAAGAGCATTGTTGTCTTTTGCATATGGGGAAGCACACATTTATAACCCACTTTGTAAACTAAAGCCATCACTTTTTTGACCTCTCCTCACTCCCTAATAATTTTTGGACGGTCCCTTAATGTGAAAGTTCATAAATAAGCATCAATTCTTGCAGTCGTATTCAAAAAGTATTCCTTTCCACATGTCTAGGATCAATTTTGAACACCTGCTGTGATGTGTATGATAAATTTGTGTCGTAAATATTTGTCAGCAGAAATTAAGGGAAACACTGTGTTACCATTTTAATGGATGGGTAAGCTGTGTTTTAGTTGGTTTCCCTTTAACCCCATTACACTTATACGCAACAACTGAGGGTCTTCATCAAAGAAAAGGCTATACTGAAAAATTTGATTGTTTAACTAATGTGTCTTAGCAGGATTTAATGCAGCCTTATGTTGCAAATGAATGTTTTAACGAGGACTAAACACTTGAAGAAAAGCTGCTTGTTAGAGTGCAAGGAAAGGGCTGCCAAGCATCAAGTGTGTGTAAAACAGAAGCTCATGCATATGTATGGATTTACCCAAGAGTAGTCAGAGACTATGTTCAAACGAGGAGTGATTGTGTTAGAAGGGTGTCGGAAAACTTGAATCAAAGGGTCGGCTCGCAGAATGGTAAACAGTGTTCGCCGTCTGTGAGGGGAGGTGAACAAACAGGGCTTGTGGGTTTTAATTAAGTTGTTATTCTCACACAAAAGTGACCCGCACAAGTATCCATCAACTGGTAAACACTGCACAGCGTTGTTAAGAAATTCTCGCAGGGATGCCGTCAAATAAAGATTTTTATCCGGCTTCCCTGGGACCTTTTACTGAGAGATTCTGTCTGTGGTCAACATGTGGTGAGCTGGCCAATAAAACAGCATCTTGGGAAAGAAAATAAGATATACTATCAAAACTTTTTAAATTATATTACACACAGAAACTCTTGTTTCTTAATCTGACAAATGGCACCGCTGTTGCTTCAATCAACAACATGTATTGTAACTTAAATATGAATTTCTGTCACTTTTTATTAAAGACTATTACCAGCTGTGATACAGTAAACAGTAGAATGGTGATATTTTAAGTGTAGCACTGCCTTATATGCATTTGAAAAGCCAGCCCACAGCATCATAGTATACTCTGCACAGCTGACAAACACTGTCATCATGTAGTCCTGTATAACAAGTAGCCTTTTCTCTCTGGTTGGTCTAACTTCTCTGCAAAATTATCCATATTGTATGTGTGGTAATGCACAGTAATTATGCACAGTCTGTAAAAGAGTACTCCACAGATATAGCATTGCACTCCTATAACACTGTCGCATTCACAATGGGCAGCTTTTAAAAAAGGATCAAAATCGATGCAGCAGAACCACAATTATCGTCTTTTTTATTCCAGGCATTTCTACTTCCTTGTCAAAGCTTGACGGGTACATTACCCACAATGCAACCTGAATCGTTGACAGTCTGGTCAGAGATACTGGTGTGTTATTCTAGTATCTGCTAATGTAGCCCCGAGCCGCTAGCCTCAAGCAGAAATGATGAGCCGGCTACAGAGGTCTGGTAAACAAAATTATTTTTAAATTCTCATCAATAGATTTTTAAGATTTTCAAAATTGTAGTCCTCAGCCCAAACTGAAGCTGACTCCAGTTTATCTGACTTCATGCAGCTCCCACTTGAGCCACAAAAGCCTTTATAGAATTTTCCTCACATATGCAGTAGTACTACCCAACACCTGTAAACAGACTTTGATGTGTAAAATCAGTAGGGTTCACCTTTAAGAAACCCTGAAGCAAAATTCAAGGTACCCCGTGGAGTTTTAGACCACCAATAGTGCCATAGAGTAATGTTTATGTGTGGGGCACCACCACCTGGGCGACATGATACACAGTCCTGCTGCTTGTTTTCAGAATTGTCAGACTAGAGTCACAAATTTAATGACTTTAGACTCAACTTGACAAAATCAAAAAGATTTGCAACTTGACTTGGACTTTAACACCAATATCTCATCACTCGGACTTGAGCATTTTGACTTGAAAATACTTGATCCCTTACCCTAAGCCCATGGATTAAAAAGTTTGACTTGAATGCAATGACTTGAGACTTAGGCCATGTTTATACGATAACGGTCCACTGTGAACGGAATTGTTTCTCATTTTCATTTTGAAAAAAGTTCCACGTTCAGACAACGTTTCGATAACAATCACTGTGCACTTGGATCTGCAAAAATGACCAAAAAGCTGTAGTATACATGTATAAACAAACAAAATGGCAACCACACGAATGTTTGTCTGGACTGACAGCGAGGTGGAGTTGCCGTAAATCTACACTTTGCTGGAGAAGCATTGATAAATTCAATCGGGTTAAGAGCACAAACAGAGCTTGGGACTGCATATTGCAAGTTTACATGACAACGGCGACGGTGCTGTTTCCAAAAAATTGCACTCTGAACCCTTTTTCCAAACGTTGCATTTTCAAGTACCCAAAACGCCGCTGTTGTGTAAACGATCAGCCAAAACGCAGCTAAAGTTTACCATTTTCGGTTGAAATCGTCTATGAGAAGGACCTTATGTGTGATTTACAAAACAAAGACTTGGTCCCAAGTGTGCTTGTCTCATACAAGTCTGCTAATAGACAGTTGGGGCTGTTGATGCACAAAGTCACGTTACAATATGCCACCAAAGGAAGAGAAGACGAAAAGTGCCAGCAAACAATGAAGGATTGAAAATATTCAAAAACTGAGCTTTGCAAATGTTTTATGATGGAAGAAACACATTGAACACATTTGCTGAACCTCGCCGTGTTTTACAAGTAACACTGAATTTAAAACAAACTTTTGTGTGATTAAAGCAAAACTCCACGAGGCACCTTTAAACCTGAAACTTTCTGCTCCAGAACAAAGTGCTGATCTTTTCACCCTGCGGTTGCTAAGCACTTATTTAACAGCAGTGTGAATCACGATTGTTTTGCTAAAAGTCAAAATGTGGTCTCTTCTACAGCTTGAAGCTCTAGATGCTAAAAATATCTCAGGTGCTGTTGAGGATACACAAGTAGCCTCCGAGCCTTTTATTGACAATAGTAAGAGAGAACGGAGAGCTCCTGGCGGACATGCAGGTTTACTCCTCTGTCTTGGGGGTGTAGAAGTTTTCACGATATGATCACAAACATCCCTATTCTTTCAAATGGCTCTATCTCCTTCCCTCAAGAATACTCCCGACGCTGGATGAATTGAATCTCACTGTACCTCGGGGCCGGTAATCAGAGCGATGACAAGCAAAGCAAGTGGGTTTAGTTTATTGAGATGCAGCCGAAGTGTTCTCTTGCAGTGTGTCTGTTCTAGTGTACCTTTCTGTCCTTGCCTTAGTCAGCAGTCAGGCCTTATCTATCAGTGTCACAGCAAAGAGGGGTTTAACAATAAAGTACAGTGTGTACAATACAGTACCATCACCTGTGTGTCAGTGTTGTCATTGTTAACCTTCTTGTTTAATGGCAAATGGTTTTACACAACTCTGCTGCAACTGTAAGCTTTCCATGTCTGTATATTGACTCATTCATGCATGTGTAGACACATCCAGTAAATTTGTATAGTGTCATGCACATGTTTATGCGATGGGGTGAACGCATCAACGCCTGCATTATAGTGTGCATAGCGCAGAAATGGATGGATAGATTCTGTGAATTCCATCTAGGCATCTGTGGCCCTCGTTGCATCTGTTGTGCTTGTAGGATGCTTATTTAACCTTCACTGCTTCACTAAGCAGTCTGAGCTTTTATTCAAACCATTCAAAGCCATTTTGGGAAAAGCCTGCATTTTTTTTTTCCTGTGCTGGGCACGCTGTACCAGGTCGGTAGAGAGAAGAATGGCGAGGGTCTACTAAATGCTCATTGTCCATTGACCAGAAAATTGGTTACAAGCCTGTCTAAGGATGTGGATGGTTGCTTTTGGCAATGTTAGATGTTTTACACACACACACACACACACACACACACACACACATGGAAGCTAAGTACTCAGAGTGCTGACACCACACATCCCCTGCAGTGTTTCTATTGTTCAAACAGAATGGATTAGAAAAGTCTGGCTTGACTTTGACAGTTATTAGTTAGAAAAGAGCTGATAAAGTGTATCAAACTTTATTGTATCAAGAAATGTATATTATGGGATGCTTGGCCTGCAGATTAGTCTTATGATAAGACTTGTAATTTGGTAGATTTGGTGTGCAGAAGTAGACTGGAGGGTCAGAATGGATGTCACACATCAGAGGACATGTCTGATTTCTAATTAGCCACTAATGCAAAACACCTGGGAGACGCCAGGAAAGCAACTGTGCATGGGTAAACTGCTAGACTTGATTTTTTTGCCCTTTGCAACAATTTAGAACTTCTGCAGCCAATATTTTATCCATCAAATCAAACCTGAACTACCCTCATCAAGAGAAGAGAGGGATATCTAAAGAAAGAAGAGGCCCTACCAGCTGGGCCACCATGAATGACCACGGGTGAGTCAAACTTGTCCCACTCAGGTCAGGATAAGAGAACGCAGTAGTGTGCTTAACACAAATTCATGTCAGCTATAACAAAACAGTCTCTAGTTTCCACTCACAAATGACTAACTCAATATGTACTCACATTTAATTTACTTTATTTAATGCAATAAATGTGTGGCAAGTGACTTGAGCAAGTGTTTCCTAAAGCAGCTCTTTTGCCCTGAGTTTAGCCTTACAGGCAGTGCGTCCTCCCAGATACTGACTACATTTACACACACAAAATATTTCAGGTTTTGGCCTTATTCTGAAAAAGACAGTGTTCCTTCTAAGTTGTTTACATGGCTGATGAAAATGAATATTCAATTAATATTTACGTTAACATGAACCATTGCATACAGATTAGGGGCCTCCCTAGTGTAGTTGTTAGAGCACTCGTCTTCCATGCAGAAGGGTCGAATCCTGTCAGCAAAGGCATGCGGTCACAAGAGGTTCCCACCGCCAAAGCAAACAGGATCAGTAACTCCGGAATCTGAGCCAAGTCCTCAAAACGAGGGTGCGTCTCAGGCCCGCTGTAGACAGGAGATTCCAAATGTAAACATGGATTAGTGCATACTCAGATTAATGTAAAACTCCACCATGATGCATGTCCTATAGTTCCAATATTTTGCCAGTCAGTAGTGCTAGGGATCAGCACGCCTGCAGCCCCGCCACTGCCTGCCGCCCAGCCCACAATGCACTGAACCCTGAATCCTGTCCGTGGTGGACCCATGGGGCGATGGCTCCATGTTATCTCTTCGGGCTTCATGGCTTAAGACCTGGCCACGAGACGCTCGCTGGTGAGCTCCCCTCCCAGGTCTGGATCCAGGGGGGTGCCCCAGTGTCCCCATACCAGGCGAAGTCCTCAAAGTCCAAATGGCATCAAGGTCTTCTTCATCTGGCCTGGGAATGCCTTGGGGTGCCCCAGGAGGAGCTGGAAAGCATTGCAGGGGAGAGGGATGTCTGGGGTGCTTTGCTTGGCCTGCTGCCCCCACAACCGGGCCCCAGATAAGCAGATGAAAATGGATGAATGGACAATATTTTGCATATCCCAAAAATTGTTGATATCCAAGTGAGAGCACACACCCCATAGTACAGTATCAAGGTACTGGTGTGCTTCTCCTTCCAACAAGAAATGTTGGCTTTTCTTTTGGGCATGGATCTCTACCCCAGCGTTGCCAGCAAGTGTTGGCAAATTGTCTTGTGTACAGTGCATCCATGACAAGGAACAGAACTGACCATAAACAGGTAAGAGGCTGTGTGTCACAAACTGCTGTAAAAACCCCTATTGAGACTTATATTCTGAAATGCAGCGTATACATGTCCATAGAATGCTCAAAAACCCGAGTAATATTGACATATTCCACGTCTTAATCGGAAAATGCTTCATTCGGAAAAAACCCTAGTTTGGAAAATCTAAAGAGAATATGCTGTTTACATGACCCGTATCAAATTCAGAATATTGTAATATTTGGAATAATGGTGAAACAGTAGTTTTCATGTACACGTAGTCACTGAATAAATTTAAGTTATACAGTAAAGGCTGTACATAGTTACAGTTTGGGTACACCTATCCTGCTGACTGAGGCATAAAGTGTACAGCATACAGCCTACTATATTCACACTGACACACATAACTGTACATTTTGTCTATGTCCTTGAGCTGCTTGGTATACTGTCTGTGTGGGAAAATTTTGACAACCCCATTTGTAGCAAAAATGTGTGTAGGAACTTGTCATGCGTAGTTCAGGCGCTGCATTTTCCAGACTGCCAGAAAATACATTTTGGACCATACATTTTTGAAAGATAAAAGTAAGAATCCTTGACTTTAACTCCTACTCGTACACTCAACACTAAAAGCTTTTTAAGCACATTTTTTAAGGACTAAAGAATATTCTTTAATTGAGCTTCAGATCAGAGCCAGGTCTTTTATGATGCATTCAGAGTAGAGATGAATGCAGTATAGAAACAGAGGTGAGCACCTTCTGAGAAGTGTTTTAGAGAGACAAGAGCCATAAGTACAGTTTGGGTATGGTAAGTTGAGCCCATTACTTTCCTTTCATTGGAATATTTGATAGGATGTTATACCACCTTTTTTTTGTTGTTTAAATTCATCAAGGGTTCACACAAAGTGGATAAAGAAGCAAACTAAAGGAACACCTCCTCCACTAGAGAGTTAGTCTTGAACCAACACTGTCCTTGGGACAACATCAGTCCGTGTGGATACATTTGCCATGTTTCACCTCCTCATCCATGTCTTTTCTGTCTTTGTACACTCTCCTGCCTCTCCTTGAAGATGTGGAGGTCCCTCTTTGCTCATTTTATAGGACTGCATGCAATTACCAAGCTCTTAGGTTTTGTGTGAGGAACATCAATGAGACAGGGACCCTGGTTTAAACAAGGTCACTGTATAAGCAGCGCTCCTATCTCTGCAACACACAATGCCGGCTTGGCATCGGGATGCATGTTCATTATAATGATAAGGAACTGGGCTGATGTCTCAGGCACCCTATAGACAGCAAGCCCTTCAGGAAGGAGCTTCCTAATAGAAACCGAGATTAGCATGTGCTTCATATTAATGCTTACAAGAAGGGCAACAGAAGATGTTCCTCAGAGACGGAGGAGCTCTGCTGAGCTGCATCTATCTGAAATGCTTGTGTCAGTAATTACAGTAACTTTAGCTGCTGTTACTTTTGATTGGTGGGGCATTTTGCTTGCTCATAGAGGATACCTTTCTATACCTCCGTTTCCTTATACAAAGTACTGTGGTCTGCGCTATGTAGGGCAATGAACGCTGAGAGATTACAGGTTAGTTAAAGATTTAAAGGGAAATTTCTGGGTATTTTGGATATTACAGTAGTCATTTCAAATACCTTGGAAACTTTTTGGCGCAAACCATTTTTCTCATATTTCTCCAACGCACAAGTTAAATTGAAAGCAAGCCAGCTCCTCACACTGCATATATTACAGCATCAAATTCTTGATCATTAATATTGTTTTCTTAATTCTTTGTTGATAATTTAATGTTCCTGAAATTAAGCCTTGTGTTGGTTCATATCTATTAACATATGTATTCAAATGAATGCAGAATCTACAGGCGACGGGACAAGAGTTTTGAATCTGAAGCATTCTGGTTGTCGTTTCAAGTCCAAGTAGTTTTGACCAATTCTGTTTGAATGGGCTTTGGTTGCGGCTATCATCTGATTTAGCTTTATTTTAGCTTTTTTTCATATGATGATATTTGTTTATAGAGCATCAACGCTCTCAGATAGCGTCTCAACTTGCTAATTGGACTGTAAACAATGACCAGCACATGGAAGAGGAAGTCTTGGCCTGGATATCCATCTGCTGTATCAGATCCCCTATGATATTGGCTGCTGCCCCCAGAGGCTAAAATGTCTTCAGACTGATAGCCGATGGGTTTTGAGATTGGTTCAGGCAGAACCCTGAAGTTGCAGTTCCTCTGTCTCATTCATGCACAGTATCATCAGGTTGTTGATGCACCATCTGGCTTCCAGCTGACTGATAACATCCAGTCACAGTTCCCTCCACCTCCCCAACTGCCTCCTAAGGTGGTTTATGTGGTGCTACATTTGTAATGGGAAGTCAGAATTTCCAAGTTCAGGTCAGAATTTTCAACTCGATTTCCCCCTAAAGTCAGATTTCCAACTCAGAATGTTGTAAGAAACCTCACAGAATCCTCAAAATCCAATATGTCTGCTCCATGCATCAACAGTAGTGAAAGCTGTGGTGATAGAGTCTGCCAGGAATGAGTCCTGAAAACCCATAAAAGAGTTAGCATTTTACCAATCCTGGTTCCCTTGTCTCACGTTCAATGTTTTTTTTTTGTTTTTTTTGGTTAGATGCCTGAAATAAGGTCTGTGGTTAACACAAGCTGGAGAGACTTTCACGTTTTGTTCTATG